GCTTTTTCGGTGTGATGGGGTGTCCAGGGCTTGCTATGGTGGGAGAATTGGGTACTGATGATGCCAAGTAACTTTGGTCTCTGTTGCTTATGTTCTTATGCTTGCCTTTCACCATCTGGTTAACTCTAGTGTTACCTGCCCTCACTATATCTGACTGGAGTCTGTATTTCCAGTTATCTTGCTTGTGTCAGAACTTCTCAGAGTCCAGACGTCTCTGTGGTCTTATGATCCTAAGTTCCTGGGTAGAAGAACTCCTGGGACTCAGGCCAACTCTGGGATCTGGAAATCCTGCTGCTCTGAGTGCAGTGGTTCCTCTAGGATGGCTCAGGATCTTTTATCTCCACAAGAGCAAATCAGCAATGTTTCTGCCCCAGCCAAAAGGACCAGGCAGGGACAGAAGGAAAGTGGTATTCCGGAGGGGTGGGGTTTGGGTGGTTGGTGGGTCCTGAGCCCCCCTGGCTCCCAGTTGTAACTCTGGGGAGTAGGGAGTGGGAGGGCGTTCTTACCTGCTGCTCTGATTGCAGTGGCTCTTCTAGGATGGCTCAAGATTCAGTATCTCCACAGGAGCAGACCAGGTATGTGTCTGCCCCAGCCAAAAAAGTAAATACCTCTAGTTTATTAAGACTAAAACTTCCATCAGACTAGTGACTGTCTGGATGACCACAGACCCATATTAGTACCACATAGAAAAATGCTGGAGCAGGGGAGAGCACTGGATTAACCTCCTGTCCCTATAGTCTGTGCCTCTGTGGCTAGGAAGTCTGTGTCTGGTGAGGCCCGGTGTGGGGTTGTCGAGGGTGGCTTCTAATGTAATGCACCCTTGGAGTCATTTTACTAGAGAGAGGACTTTTAGCTGGGCAGTGGTGGCGCACACCTTTAATCCCAGCACTTGGGAGGCAGAGGCAGGCGGATTTCTAAGTTCGAGGCTAGCCTGGTCTACAGACTGAGTTTCAGGACAGCCAGGACTACAAAGAGAAACCCTGTTTTGAAACAAACAAACAAACAAACAAAAAGTTAAGAGAGAGAGAGAGAGAGAGAGAGAGAGAGAGAGAGAGAGAGAGAGAGAGAGGACTTTTGGGAGGGATCAGAGACCAGTACTCGCATTGAAGATGGGGGAAAGTTTTTCACCAAAATGCAGTACATGGTGCCCGGGGCAGGGAAGATGAGCCACGGTGCTCTCAGATGTACAGGGCAGCTCAACTGGCAGGATCTTACTAGGAAGGTGGGTAAAGAGCAAAAGGTTGGAGAGAGAGAGAGAGAGAGAGAGAGAGAGAGAGAGAGAGAGAGAGAGAGAGAGAGAGAGAGAGAATGAGGGCTCATGCATGGGCAGACAAAAGCAGAAGTACTGAAACTGACTACTTTAACTAGAACCTTCCCTGCCAGGGTAAGCAATAAAAGCTGAGAGTCCCTCTCAGACTAATGAAGCTGAGCTGCACAGAAGATTCTGCATCCAGACCAGCTTCCTGGGAGAAACAGAAACCCAGAGATGCCTGGAAGAGGGTTAGACCAGAATCACTTGTAACGGACACTCTCTGATCTGCTGAGCTGCCCCAGGTTCCCAGCTTTCCAGAGGTGTCACTGATGCAGGGGTGGGCCTTGGTGATGCAGCTGTCTTTGAGTATTTCCTGCTGCTGTTAGAAATCCCAATAAAAGCCATTGGCTCAAGAAGTTGGACTTTGGTGTATTCTGTACCTTGGTCTGTGGTGGGCTCCCTATCTGGGGTGAGCAGACATGTGTGTTGTGACCACCCAGGATAAAATTTGTCTTTTTACACCTGTTTATACCATTGTCTCAGGCTCACTGCCCTTTCCCTGACAAACCTTTTCCTTCCTACGATCCTCTATTCCTGAAAACCTGTCATGCCCTGCACCAAACACCTTAGTACACCTGTTTCCAGATATCTAGGGAATGCCTTCAGATTCCTCTGTTGCTCAGAACCCAGGCTGCTCTTTTTTAGTTCTTTCCTCTGAGCTCCCAGTGTCTGACTTCTCCCAGTTCATCTATCAACGGGTGAGGGTGGCCTCAGGCCTCAGCATCCTCTACTTAAAAGAGTTGTAATTGTGACACCTTCCTGTACTGAGCAATGACTCTGGACACTCTTATCTTTCTTACTTTCTTTTAAAATCGATTGTGGTAACATTAACCATAAGTATTTGCATTATGTCATGAATACTGAGGTCAAAACACATAAAATGACACACATTTTTCATAATACTCCACTGTGATAGTTTAGTCAGAAGGCAATGACAGTTTTGTCACTTCAAGCTTCCCTGGGCTTTCAGAAGCAGGGTTTTGAAAGGTCTGTACCACTTCCTGCTGTTAGGAGGATAAAAAGGAAGTGGGAGTGGTGATTTATGACAGGCCCTGCTGAGCTCAGTGCAGGGTAGAGGAATTAAAGGACAAACAATTAGATACTGGATTCCAACATGGGGCAAACCTTTAAGATTCCTGGGACTGGCCTGGTGGTGGTGGTGCACGCCTCCCAGCACTTGGGAGGCAGAGGTAGGCGGATTTCTGAGTTGAGGCTAGCCTGGTCTACAGAGTGAGTTTCAGGACAGCCAGGACTACACAGAGAAACCCTGTCTTGGAAAAAAAAAACAACCCCCCCAAAAAAGATTCCTGGGACTGTGTGTGGAAGAAAGATCAGAGAAGAGAGTGAAGGCTAGAAGTGTGTGTGTGTGTGTGTGTGTGTGTGTGTTCAGATATTTCTGTTCCATCTTTAAGAACTGTGAGTGCTTATCTTGGATATTCTTTCTTCAGACCTCTGGACTCCCCTGTGACTTTCATCATCTCTAGCTCACAAATCCCCAGCAGTGCTGACATTTTCCTTTTCTCTCAGTTCTGATCATTGGTTCCTAAGCCTCACCCATGCATGTAGATGCCCTGCTCTGGAGTGTTCTTACTTCACTGGGCAGCTGCATTTATTTGCTGAACCTGGAAAAAATCCTGACTTGAGGCTTGCTGGGAGGAGAGACAGACAGTGCTCCCTGGCCAGTGCTTGGTTTGCTTACCTCACACTTTGTAGGTCCTGTGCAGAACTGGCAGTAATCCCTATCAAGAGCTGGACCTGGGCTCTCCCCTGGCTCATGCTCACAGTTTCTCATGTGAAAGGGCTGACAGTGACTGTCCTTAACAATGTAGTGAAATGAGTAATAGCCACACAATATATTCAATATGTATTCCAGGTTATAGCAACCCAGCTTAAATATATGTCTTTCTACACCCACACACACTACACACAGACACAAAAGGCATCCCAATGTTCACAAACTCGAGCTGATCTTAGGTCTCTGTGGCACTTCTCATACTTTGCTGTTTTTTCAGACGTGGCTGGGCCAATGGGAAGAGTCTGCAGTCACTTATTGTTTACAATGAGGTTGGCTGCAAGCACAGACCTTCACACAGTTACTTCCTGCTTGTAGCTACAGAGCTGAAACTCTTCCAAGCTATCCTGTCTAAAGAAAGCCTTTGGTTTTCCTGTTTAATGATGGATTCACTGTGGAAAGACATGGAAAAGTTAACCATTCCATAATGCACATGGCAGGCGGTTCTCCCTTTACTCTCTTGGGTTCTGTAGTATGTGATGATCGTCTCCATTTGTTCTTTCAGTCCTGTGCTCAACACACTTGTATTCACAGAGATTTGATCATCAGTCATTTACTACAGGATTTACATGGCCTAAGAACCTGCTGAACTCACGGTCTTCATACCTGACTGTTAACTGTAGAGGTTAGTGTGTAGCTACAAGTAATGGGTCATCGTTACACACAAGGACACATGCATGCAGAATGACCTCTCTGCAAACACACAGGCAAATACACATGTAAAGACATCCACAGACATATTTGCACCATGGATGGTGCCTTGTACCATTGGTTGTTGCAGGATGATTGCCTCACAAAATTTGCTTTGTAACTAATGAATTAACCCTGGTGTTCTCTCATAGAAATGGGGATGTCCTGTTTCTGAGGTGAGCAGATTTGGTTTTCCACAGACATTGTTCCCCTGTTTGAACAGAGGAATTGTTCACTCTTTCTTGGCCTCAACTTGCAAAAGAGGCAAAAGTGGCTTCTTTCCTCTCTCCTCTCCTGGACTTGAGATATGGTAGGACAGAAACTCAAGTTAGGGCTGCCGGAATGATGAAGTCAACTACTGTACCCCAGTTCTTCAGCTCCTAAAATTGTGTTGTGACTCTCACAATGGAACCAAGGAGGAGTTATTTTCAGGGCTTAGACAAGACTAAGAATGTGACAGGATGTGTGTGTTGTGGGAAGGGATGACTTTGTCTCCAGAATATCGGAAACACAGCCTCAAGACATCAGCCTCATTCCCACAGGTTCTGCTTCCCCAGCCATTCTAACCTGTCAATGGACTAAATAAACCATGATCAGGGGACAGGGGTACTAGGAAGATGCCACAGTCTGAGGAGGCAGAAACATATTGTTATCAGTGGGAAGTGATGTGTACTTGTAATGCACTTACCTGGAACTAGGACCAGCGGGCTCCCATCCTCAGAGACAGACTTCATTAAGGACAGGATGAAAGGGCATTGGCTTAGAACCCCCAATACCAAGACCTCAGCACAAAAGAGATTCATTTGTCCCATAGGGTCAAAGGGCAGGGAATAAAATACAGACACAGGAGACTAGATGGAGGGAGGAGGGGGAAGGGAACAAGGGAGAAGGGGAAAGGTATTTGTCCCTGAAGGAGACAAAGGTCTGCCTCTGCATAGAGAGAAGGCACGTGTGGCTCATAGTCAAAGGGCAGTTTATAAAGGCAAACAGGGAAACCCTGTGTTACGATGAAGTGTTTAATTTTATTTGGACATGTTAATCAGGAGAACCAAAATGGGCTTTTGATTGTTGGATGTCAAGTCTTTGATAACTAGGCATTGGTAGGTGATCTCAGGAAGAGTAGGTGGTTAAATAAACAGATAGACCTTGGTGGCTAACTCTAGAAATACATCTAATGGAGTTTTTTTCTCTTTTGTTTGTTTTTAGCAAGGCAGAGGAAATGGAGGAGAAGGGCAAGGCCTGCCAGCGCCATGTTTGCCACCTTGGGATGGGTAGCTTCCCTTCACAGCCCATCCCAGCTGCTGACAACTTCTTTCTGCAAGATATCAGCAACAGCTTTCCTCTGTGAAGTACTGAAGCACACAGAAGCAGATTAAAGTCTGACCTAATGTTGGGCACTGAGTGTTTTCTACACAGAGTCAGGGTGTGTATTTTAGGAGCGTGGGAAGCACATTTCTCCACATGCTCACATTCATCTTCAGGACACAATGTAGGTGTGGGAGCCTCGTGGTTTCTTGTGGATGGAGCCACTACTAGTTACTCATGGACTAGGTTGCCAGTGCTGATTCATGCTGGTGTTTTGCTAGTGGACTCAGCTGCTGACAGTGGAGATTGGAATTGCCTCAAAGAACTACTTTTAACCAGGTTCACAACCCAATTGTCATATTAGCCATCTTCCCCCCTACCTTTGTTCAGTGGGCTATAAGGAAGGGTGAATCGTTTAGAGACCTTTATTAAAATAGGCTTTGAAAAATCTAAGCCTACAAGTTCCCTTCAATATCCAGTGTATTTTCATAGCTGTGTTATCTGTGTCATTGACATTTAAAAATTTAAAGTCAATAAAGTATTATTCAATCTATATTGGTAGATCTTATATTTCCCTTTTGTTCTATGAGCATTTTCTTTAAAGTCTTGTTAGATCTCTCCATAATTGTTTGTCTTGTAGGATTGTAAGGTATGCTTGGAACATGTTCTATGTCATAATGTTTAAAAAATAGTTGTATTCTAATGGATACATTTGCTGAAGCATTTTCAACTTCAATCTGTAAAAGAATCTCCAAGAATGCCATCATCTCTAATAAATTTATGATCTCAGAATCATCCTTTTCAGAAGAAGTCCATTGAAAATCTGATTATTTATCAAAAGCATGGTCTATCAACATATGTCCATATTTTAGATTTTCAAATTCTACAAATGGGAACACATATGCCACTGTTTGATATTATTCTGAGGTAGCATCAATACATAGAATTGGGATGCTTAATTCAGAATATTGTATCCCTACTTGTTGGTTGCCATTCTAATCTTTAAGCCTTTGTGATTTTTTTTTTCATCTGGAACTACTTTTGTGTTTGTTATTTTAGGTTCCTGATTGAATTTTTTGAAAGTCCTTTATTTTGGTTTTTAGAATCCTCCAACCTCTGTTCTATGGACAGTAATCTTTTAGTCTTTTTTTTTCCTTTTATATCTAAGCCTATTTTATTTTGATGTTTCTTAAAGAACATATATATGATTATATATAATTGTAATTATTATTGAACATATATATATATATATATATATTTTTTGTTGTTGTTGTTGACAGTCAAAGCAAAACTATATGGGGACCAAATGTTCTTTTCTGTAGAACATTATATTTTTATTATCGAATTTTTTAAAATATCTCTAATTTTCCCCTTTCTTTGGAGACTTCATTTTTTTTGTATTTCTCTTTCTTTTTTCTGAAGCTCCTTATTTTTCCTTATTGTTCCTTTCTTTGGAGACTCTAATGTATTTTTCTTTCTTTTTCCCACAGAGAATTTTCCTTGTCTTTCATTTCTATAGAGACTTCATCTTAATTTTTTTCCCATCTCCTTTTAAAACAGATTCTATTGTATTTTTCTTTCTTTCCCTTTCTTTATTTTTTGAGACTCCATCTTGTGTTTTCTCTCTCTTTTCTCTAGAAACATTTTTCCTTTTTTGGGAGACATTTTCTTGTATGTGTATTCATTTATTTCTCTCTGTATGATTTCTAAACTTAATTTTTGTATTTAATTTTCTCTAAATTCTTTCCTCTGGGGAACTGCTTTTAATAATGCTCTTAACATTTTCTAAAGTTAGTATTTTTTTCTGTATTTATTTTTTCTAGATTCTTTTTCCATTTGCGTAAGGCTTATTCCTTTCAATTTATTTAATTCTCTCTTAAAGGACTTCATTTTATAAAACTCAAACTATGTATATCATCTATTTATGGTGTTTTACATTCAATCTTTCTTCTTCTTAATCCCTAAAGTATAACTTCAAACATTGCAGTGTATTTATTTTTATTCACTTTACACTGTTATCTCACGCCCTCCCTCTTCTCTTCCCACTCCCACCTTTAAAAACCCCTCCTCCCAATGCCGCCTCCCTTTCTCTTCAGAGAAGGGGAGCCCTCCTTGGGCACTACCCCCTGAAACATCTAGTTTCAACAGGATTAGGCACATTCTCTCCTGCTGAAGCCCAACTGGGTAGTCGAGATAGAGGGAAGGTAGGGATCCAATGGCAGGGAATAGAAGCTTAGACAGTTCCTGCTCCATTTATTAGGGGAATCTTGAAACATCTTTTTTGTCTTATCAGAAATTCTGCTCTCCATCTGTCTGGCTTCTTCTTCCTGCACCGTGACTACCCTGGCTCCTGTCTTTTCTCTCTCTTGGCTAGGAAACTGAGGCCACCTTTATGTACTGAGGCTACAGTTGAACAGCTGGTTTTTCTATACACCCAGGGCTTCTTAAAAGAGCTACCTCAAACAGCCTCTCTGAAGGTCTTCCCTTCTTCCCTGCAGCTGGCCTTGTTGCACCATGGTGGGTGGGGGGTGGCTATTCAAATAAGTTCTTGCCTGACATTTAGTGGGCCAAGTGGAAATGTAAACTTTCCCACCTGGCCTCTTTATTTTCAGAAATAATGACAAAGACTCACTAAAGATGAATAAATGCCTAGGTCAAAATCTCGGGATTGTTTTTCAACTAGCTCATAACTTAATTTTTCCACTGATTTTGTTCTTGGTCCTGCCATGTGGCTATTTGCCTATGCCCAGTTTCATGCTTTTGTCTTCCTTAGTGTTATGACAAAAATATCCCACTTGCTCTCTGTTTCTCAGAATTTCATTCTTTTGCACTGAAACTCTAGTTCATTACTTCTTGCCTTTTGATCATAGGCCAACAGCATTTTATTGACATGTGATGCTTCTCGCATTGTACAAGAGACTCTCTACAGTAGGAGGTTTTGAATATGTCAGATGACCTCTTCTATTGGAAATGCAACTGTTTTACCAATTGAAGTTCTTAAAGATAAAAAAATCCAACAACAACAACAACAACAACAACAACAACAAACCCCTGTCATTCCTTAGGAAAGAGAGAAGAGAGAATTCTTTCTGTTTGGACAGAAGCTGAAATACCAACTCTTTCAAAGTTTTCCAGGCTGTAAGGCTTCCCTGTAGATACTGTGTTTGCAAGTCTCATAACTGAGTGGGCAAATGAAAGACAGAAGAAGGGAGAGAAGTAAAGACAGAAGAGGGGAGAAGAGTGAGGAGGAAGAAGAGGAAAAGCAGGAGAAATGTCCAAAGAAGAAAGAGGAAGAGAAAGGAGAATGAAGTTGAGGGAGAGACTAAAGATTCTTTTGGTGTTCAACAGGAGACTATATTTTAAGATGTTGTTGAGCCTTTATCATGCCACAAAAAATGACAATTTAATTAGAAGCTGTGTTGCCTACAACCAAATTCCAAACTCATCCTGTTGAGTGGTGAAGGATATGGAATAAAGTGTCTGTGTCTGCATGGATCTCCCAGTGTGTCTACTTATCCATGCATTACCCAGCTGTTCCTGGAGGGAGCATGGACCATGGTCATTATTCCATCTGCTGTGTGGCCTCCATGTCTAAGGAGATACTAACTCAAGTGAAGATGTGTGCTGGGATCCACACCCTGTACTTCCCGAATCCTAAAAGAAATTCAGGACAGGATTGTAGCAATAATCCCTTCTGCACTATGTCAAAGAATCATCTGTCAACAAAGAGCTGAATGGCCTACAAAGGCATGAGAAAATAAGAAAACAGGTGGGACAACTCTCACACACACACACACACACACACACAGAGAGGGGGGAGAGGAAGAGAGAGGGAGAGGGAGAGGGAGAGGGAGAGGGAGAGGGAGAGGGAGAGACAGGAACTCTGGGAAAGAGTCAGGCTGAAGAGATTCACATACAAGTTGTTGTGGAGGAAGTTGAATGTATGAAACTGAGAAGAGGCCACCAGACCCATCTCAGACACAGAATAGTATAAACAGGTTAACTTAGTTATACAATAGTTGGACAACAAACTTAGCTAAGGTATAGGCATTAATGCATAAATAAATGAACTTCTGTTTCATTATTCTGAAACTGAGGCAGGCATAGAAAAGCCCAAATGGTAACACAGTCTACTAACTTCTTCATCTTAGGAGAGTGCAGCACTATTAATTAGACAAAGATATTGCAAGTCATATGTATACAACCATGTATTCTCATGATAATACTTTAATGGAAGAGAGTTCCTATTCTGTGGGAGACTCTTTTTCTACTTGCCACAGTGATATTCTGTCTCTGAAAGACATGAATCCTCCGTTCTTTCCCAGGAAATGTTTGTTGCTTAAAAGTAGGTTTTAAGTCAGTGCCTGAAGCCAGTCCAAAAGCTTATACCTCACAGCTTCATTCCTGTTTCCCAGTATTCAGGGAAGTCAGACATGCATGATTCTTGCTTCGGTGATAAAAACTCTTCCTTATTAAGGAGAGACTTGGCATCACTTGCCACAGTATCAATAAAGAGACTTTTCCAATAGTAAGTCTTTCTAAAGTAAAGGCCTGAGGCAAGTGGTCCCCCAGTAACATAGGAAATGTATTCAATATATTTCAACAGTTTTTCTTTGAAGGACATGTCTTTGTCTTCTGTTAACAAATGGAGAGACTTAAGGTGTGCCTTGATTTCATTCATAGACACATTGAAATCCTTGGCAATATTTTTTAGTGAGGCTTCATCCAGCCCAAAGTAAGACCTGTAGAGATTCAAGGTCTTCTCCAACTTCTGTATTTCATCTCTGATGAAGCCCCCAAGTGGAATGGTGACGAATATTCCAGCCTTCAGGGACTCCAGCCAGATCTTCTGTCTGAGGAAATCCCTCTTCCGGTCAATAGCAGTCTCAGTAACACTGTGCAAGGACATCATGAAGATGTGGCGCTTGTGGGCTGGGAGCTCCCTCAGTAGGGTGGTCTCCAGCTTTGGAAAGTCAAAGTCAGACACATCAAAGTTAGAGACTAAGAAGAGTGGAGGTTGACTGGAAAGAGCTTCCTGAAGCTTCTCTGAACAGTCATCTCTAATTTTCTTTAAGACACTATCTCTACGGAAAGACTTAGGTTTACTCTTCTGTTCATTACTGAGATCTTGATCAATCTTGGTTCGGACAAAGTAGAACTTTTTGTTTATCTTTTCAATGGCTTTGACCAGATGTGCATCAATTTCTTTGAAGCGTGCAGCCGAGACTATAATGAAGAAGTCGTACTCACCAATTTTCATTTCTGACAGGTAACTTTCTTGTTGGAAGTTAGTGGACCCAATGCCAGGCAAGTCCCATATTGTCATGTTGGGAAGCTTTGGGTGTGGGTATGGAGTTCTCTTCATAGTTGTCTCTAGCACCCCAGTGGCGGCTGCACCTTCTTCTTCTTCTTCCCTCACTCCCCTCAGGGCATTGATAAAGCTGGATTTCCCTGTCCCTGTTTCTCCAGTCACAGCAATGTTGAGTGGGGCTTTGTCAATGTTTCTCAGAGCATGACTAATTTCAGACAGTGCCCCCTGAAGGTTCTTATTCT